AGTTAAGATTTGTGTGTCATCTGAGGGGGGGGGATCAGTTTTAGGATTTAAAAAGGAATTTTTGTATGAGTTGAAAAGAAACAGAATGATGCTTGGCAGATGAGTTCACATTAGAGGAAATTTGCATGATAAACATAAAACGGTACATTCTGAAGTCTTGTGTATGGCTTTTAATGACACAATAGGGAACCAAATATTATTGGAATTACTTTTTAATTACCACTCCATATCTTCAATAATTATACTGTATAGACGAGAAAGCGGTCTGAATTAGCTCACAGTGCCAGCGGTCTTTACGCAGCGATATGGCGGTTCCTTATCGTTGTCTCGTTATATGTTGTGTTTTCAAAAATGTGGAAGCAGACTACCTAAAGCAATCCAATTTTTTCATTTGACTGATGATTCCTTTCAAAAGGCTTACATTTTATGCCACAAGTTATGGGAGGATTCTGGATGGATGCAAGGACAGGAAAGTGGGGGACGTGAGAATTAGGAGTGACAGGCAGAGGTAAAGGATTAAGAATGTAAGGACAGAGAGAGCCATCATTCAACTCTATGGAGCTGAAAGCCATCTGAGAACACCACTTTGAAATGATGGTAACACTTCAAAATCAATGACATCATAAAACCTATCCATCAAATAAAAGTGATACTTCAACAACGGACTTTGTCATGCTACTCTATTATGATACTCTGATATGTTGGCATTCAGCACTGCTTTTACAACTGATAAGAAGTGTGGCAGTGTGTTTGGGCTATGCTGCAACAGGGTACATTGTGACAGTACATGTGGGCTAGAAGAGGGTACATCTCCAGAATGTACCCTGAACAAGTTGAGTCCAAATAGACTCTAGACTAGTAGAGTCCACAGTGGGTCAGGGCTCTAGTGGTGCAGGGTACATTGTGGTAGTGTGTTTGAGCTCTGCTAGTACATGATACAGTGCTTCAAGAGTCTATCAATTATGCCAAATCAAGCAGCAAAGCAGCTCTAGACCACCACAATAAATCACACTACCACCACCAAGTTTGACTTTTGGCATGATGTTCTAATTGTGGAACGCACTGTTAGCTTTACGCCAGATGAAACGGGACCCGGGTTGTCCAGAAAGGTTCCACTTTTGACTCACCACTCTACAGAATATTATTCCGAAAAGTCTTGAGGGTCATCACAATGTTTTTTGGCAAAAATGAGACGAGCCTTTGTGTTTTTTGGTCAGCAGTTGTTTTAATGTTGCAGCTCTCCCACAGATGCTCTCCCTTTCACAAGTCTCTCCCAAAATACTCTCCCTTTCTCCCTAGTGAAATTGTGAACACTAACCTTAACTGAGGCAACGGAGGTCTGCAGTTCTTTAAATGTTAGTCTGGGTTTTTTTTGACCTCCTAGATGAGTCGTTGATGGGTTCACCACTGTTTGAAGTTTTCTCCATTTGTAAACAAGCATTCAGAGAATTCATAGTCTCGCCCAACAGCCTGAAATTTATGTCATGCCGTGAGGTCAGCCCAAGGTGTTTACGTGTGAAAGATGATCGAAATCGGTCAAGTGGTGCTGGAGATATCTGCCCCGAAACACACATACACACACAGACAGACTGACTGACAAGGTGATCAGCTATGACCTTGAAATTTATGTCATGTTGTGAGGTCAGCCCAAGGTGTTCACATGTGAAAGATGATCGAAATCGGTCAGGTGGTTCTGGAGATATCGGCCCGGAAACACACATACACACACAGAAAGAGAGACAGACTCACAAGGTGATTACAATAGTCTTGCAAACCCCTCCGGGGGCTCGACTAATAATGGCCCTCACCGTGGTTCGTTGGGAGTCCAAGAACCTTAGAAATGGCTTGTAAATCCATTCCTGACAGATAATATGTCAACGACTTTGTTTCTCATCGGTTTTTGAATTTCTTTAGATCGTGGCGTCATGTCTGACTTTTTGTCAACTTCATACCTTCAGACCAGTTCTATTTAAGTGAAGTTAGGACACAATAGGGCAGGGCCGGCAGTAATCATGTGTGGGTGTGGCAAGTGAAATTGAATTATCAAATTTATTTAACAGACTGAATTGGTAACTAAGGTGGTAATTACCTTTTCAAATGGCAGGGTACGGTTGGATAGCTTTTTTGCCCCATCGATAAACAAAATCATCATTAAAAACTGCATTTGGTGTCTTCTCTGGTTATCTTTAACCAATATTAAAATTAGTTTGATGAGCTGGCACAATTAAGTGTGACAAACATGCAAAAGTAGAAGAAATCAGGGAAAAAAAAAAGATTTTTCAAAGCACTGTACATTGTGGCTGACTGTTTGGGTTCTGCACTGTATATCGAGGATGAGTCTTTGGGCTCTACACTGTAGATAGTGGCTGACTGTTTGGGCTCTACACTGTATATCGAGGCTGAGTGTTTGGGCTCTACACTGTAGATAGTGGCTGAGTGTTTGGGCTCTACACTGTAGATAGTGGCTGAGTGTTTGGGCTCTACACTGTAGATAGTGGCTGAGTGTTTGGGCTCTACACTGTATATTGAGGCTGAGTGTTTGGGCTCTACACTGTAGATAGTGGCTGAGTGTTTGGGCTCTACACTGTAGATAGTGGCTGAGTGTTTGGGCTCTACACTGTAGATAGTGGCTGAGTGTTTGGGCTCTACACTGTAGATAGTGGCTGAGTGTTTGGGCTCTACACTGTATATCGAGGCTGAGTGTTTGGGCTCTACACTGTAGATAGTGGCTGAGTGTTTGGGCTCTACACTGTAGATAGTGGCTGAGTGTTTGGGCTCTACACTGTAGTGTGAGTGTTTGGGCTCTACACTGTAGATAGTGGCTGAGGTTTGGGCTCTACACTGTATATCGTTTGGGCTCTACACTGTAGATAGTTTGGCTGAGTGTTTGGGCTCTACACTGTAGATAGTGGCTGAGTGTTTGGGCTCTACACTGTAGATAGTGGCTGAGTGTTTGGGCTCTACACTGTAGATAGTGGCTGAGTGTTTGGGCTCTACACTGTAGATAGTGGCTGAGTGTTTGGGCTCTACACTGTAGATAGTGGCTGAGTGTTTGGGCTCTACACTGTAGATAGTGGCTGAGTGTTTGGGCTCTACACTGTAGATAGTGGCTGAGTGTTTGGGCTCTACACTGTAGATAGTGGCTGAGTGTTTGGGCTCTACACACTGTGGCTGAGATTTGGGCTCTAGTGGCTGAGTGTTTGGGCTCTACACTGTATATAGAGGCTGAGTGTTTGGGCTCTACACTGTAGATAGATGGGCTGGCTGAGGCTGTTTTGGGCTCTACACTGTAGATAGTGGCTGAGTGTTTGGGCTCTACACTGTAGATAGTGGCTGAGTGTTTGGGCTCTGCACTGTAGATAGTGGCTGAGTGTTTGGGCTCTACACTGTAGATAGTGGCTGAGTGTTTGGGCTCTACACTGTAGATAGTGGCTGAGTGTTTGGGCTCTACACTGTAGATAGTGGCTGAGTGTTTGGGCTCTGCACTGTAGATAGTGGCTGAGTGTTTGGGCTCTACTTCTATATCAAGGTTGAGTGTTTGGGCTCTACACTGTATATTGAGGCTGAGTGTTTGGGCTCTACACTGTATATTGAGGCTGAGTGTTTGGGCTCTACACTGTATATCGAGGCTGAGTGTTTGGGCTCTACACTGTAGATAGTGGCCGACTGTTTGGGTTCTGCACTGTATATTGAGGCTGAGTGTTTGGGCTCTACGCTCTAGATAGAGGCTGAGTGTTTGGGCTCTACACTGTATATCGAGGCTGAGTGTTTGGGCTCTACACTGTAGATAGTGGCTGAGTGTTTGGGCTCTGCTCTGTTGTGCTGCCGCTGTACCTGCACACTGCTGGCTGGGGAGCTGCTGGGAGCTGCAGGGAGAGGATGTCCGAGGGAACTGCATCTGCTCTGAGCCCGGCGGGGGCAGGAAACTCACAGAGGAGCTGCGGGCATGAAACGCACACACGCACACACGCACACACACACACACACACACACACACACACACACACACACACACACACACACACACACACACACACACACACACCCACACACACACACCCAGTTTCACACGACAAACCAACCGACACACAAATGCAAAATCAGACACAGAAATGCATGAAGGCAAACAGAGAAAGTCATAACATGAAAGGCCTGCCTCATTCCACATACTGCTTTAAAATAGGGAAACAAGCAAAACTGGAAATGAGCTGGACACACTGAGGAGTTCAAACTAATATTCATCTCGTTTCTAAAAAACAACAGCCAGTAAAACTGTTGTTAACTACGCATCAAGGATCGAGACAAATTTCCAAAGCAGAAAATTCCAATATATACACACAAATGGATATAATGTGTACACAGGTTCAGATATCAGCAGATTAAGCAGTTATACACAGACTTTGAGGCGGGCAGGTACATGCAGATTGAGATATCAGCAGACATGAGCAGTCGATGAGCAGCTGGCCCTGGCTGGAACACTCCTCTACACTGGGCTTCACATGAATGATGGGGCAGAGGGGAACGTCTCCAAACGGGACCAGTGTGCTGTATTAATACCCACCAAATCACCAGCCCCATCAATCATCCTCAGTGTGACCTACTAAAGCAGAGCTACTCCAAGCAGGAGGAAGAGCTTAGAACGACCCGTCCTTGTCTTCTGTCTGACCCTGATAGTGAGCAATGCTTTACTCCAGCCCTCCCCCCCCCCTTACAGGTGATGGGACGCCCTTGGCCCAGTCCAAGAGGAGTACGATTATCAGTGCAGTCCATTCCCACTGTCCAGAATTACGTCTGATCCGAGCCTCGTGGCTCATTAGGCCAGTGCTTGACTGCGGTTTCAGTAGCATGAAGCAGCAGTGGATGGGATGCTAGTCCATCGCAGGTTAACCCCCCAAGCTCCAAGTCAGGTTTCCCTGACAATTTTCTGGTACCCAGTTATACACCTGGGTGGAGTGAGGCAGTGTGGGAGTGACGTGTTTTGTCCAAGAACACACTGCAAAAATCATGGCAAGGACTCAAACTCAGGACCTTTTGGTCCCAAGTCAAGCGCACTTAACCACTGCGCCACCGCGCCCTCACCTCACACTGTCCAGAGTCGTATACTATCTTCGTAACTATCAGTGCAAAAATCATTAGCAACGAAGTCCTAGATCCCATAGAATTCGAAGAATCAGCCCAAAAACGGACTCCTTAAAGAGCAGCATAAGGGCGGTTGCTGACGGGCGTCAGGATGGTGGCTCACCTCATGGTGCTCTGCTGATTGGGAGGAATAACACTGTAGTAGACCTGCACGCTGGAGGCCGGCACCGCGCCCTGACTGGACTGGTTGGGAAGTATCATTGGCTGCTGATATATCTGCTGCGGCATGCCCTGCGAGTTCTGAGGCACGGATACCTGCTGACAGACAGGAAGAGGAGCTGCTGACGTCCTTCAGGAAAAGATGACCACATCACGGTTCATCACATCCACTCAACACCACACACTCCTCCCTCTCACTTCACTTCTGATCACATGATGTTTGTTGATTTTTAAAGGTCCCCTATTCTGTCCCCAGGTGCACAGCCAATTAGTTATCACAAGCCATTTCAAATTCTTTCCCCTCGTGACATCACATGGGGAGGTAACCAACCCGAGGCAAAAGGAACTGATCTACTTCAGCCAAGCAGTCAATCAAATTTCATTATTCTGGGTGGTCACTCCCCCTTGTGATGTCAGGAAGGGGAGATTTTGAACTGGCTCATTAGCTGTGCACCTGGTGGCATAACAGGGGACCTTTAAGGGCTTTTTCCAACTTTATTTGGAAGGATAGCATACAAAGACAGGAAGAATGGAGTGAGACATTGGGCCCATGAGTGGTGTGTGAACAGCGGTCCATAGACTGCACCACCGAGACCCGAGACTCTCCAATTTTTTTTTTTTAATTATGAGCTAATGTTACGCGCTGCATCACACCTGTTCACAAATGTAGACTGTAAAGTGAGCAGGAAGAAGGCTAGGTTTCAACATAAGAAAAATATTGAGCAGAGTATCTCCCGAAGATATCATTATAGCAGTAAATCTGATGACCGCACTTCCACAAACACACACCAAACGCCAGCATACGTACCTGATACGAGGGCACAGTCGGGTACTGGACCATCATGCCTTGCATCTGCCCTCCCATGTTGCCATGGGGACCGCTAACAATGTTCTGGCTGGGAGGCGGCTGCACCCCCACCATATTCTGGTAGCTCTGCGGCTGATTGGGCACGACAGTCTGAAAACCTGAAAGCACACGCCCACCACTGCCATTAGAAACACAGCACACCTCACACAACTGAGACCGAGATAACCACCGCACCAATGAATACCATCACACTGTACAAAACAACAATAACAAACGCAAATTATTAAAAGCAGAGCTTACAAAAACAGGAGATTAACGAAACACAAACAAAAAAAGGATATAATGCATAATTCAAATGTAAATTAGTGCAACTGCTTTTCATTTGATAGACGATGACGAGGGAGAAGGCAGACATCAAAAATTGTAATCATTAAAACGTAACGGCTCCCGAGGGACGGTTCACTCTCCCTCACTGCTGCAACTTGTTTGTGAGTTTCTAAAATTGACTAATTAATTTAAGAGCTTATTTTTCAATGGCTAGAACCGCAAATTTGCACAGAGCTTTTAAACGGCTAATTTCTGCAAATGATACCATTAGCTTTTATTATCGTTATTAGTATCTTAAATGGATTTTAAAGAGAGCAAAACAGAACTTCCTAGTCCACACATACACTTAGAAATGAGACCTTAATAAAGGCTAAAAATTGGATGGTCACAAGGCCAAAAGGAAGACAAACCAGAGTTTTCTAAAGTTTTCAATAAATTTCATGATAAAAAACACATATTATGATTTCATGCAATATTCATACAATTTATAATGAGTGAAAATATTTCTTAAAAATGTACCCTTTCAAGAAATTTCAATTCGGTGAAAAAAATAAATAAATAATAATAATCCCGGACTGCAATAGCTCAGTAAATTCAGCTACAAAAAGACCAAATACCGAGCACTGAAAAATATGATGAGGACATCCAGGCGTGAGGCAATCGCTTTGAACTCTACTAGAAACAACCAAACAAAAAAAAAAAAAAAAAAAAAAAACGTTTAAATCTTACAAATCAAGGAGACAGTTGAGAGATAAACAAATTGGCAAATGCTTCTTTCAGAGTGTAAATAAAGAGAAATATCAAAGCACTAAAGGAGCCGAATTTGTGACCGCATCTGTCAAATGCTCCTTCCCTTACAGCGGAGTCCTCAAGGCTTCAAAGAGTATTCATTACCAGCACATCCACAGCACAGAGATGGCAAAAGGTCAATATTTCCTTTCATGAAAATTAAAAATGAGTCAATACGCAATAAGTTTGGCAAGGTCAGCAATCCCCAGCTCCGACGGGAAAGGTATGAAAACAAACAGGGGGGAAAAAAAGGAAAAGGTGTATTGCGGGCAAATAGACGAGGGCTTATTTTATGGCAATTGCGTACCTTTCAGTAAAAGCTGCTTTTATCTGGGAGAGTGCATCAGATTCAAGGTTACTGGGGAGACTATAGCTGATGATGGGTTCAGAAAGCCAGTGCTGGGGGGAGGACCTGGGGACCACACAGGGGGGCTGGGGGAGCGCTTTTCAATTTCTTCCTGCTTTTTGCTGCTCCAACCGCAATCAATTTGCTCCAGATGAGAATGGAAGTGGGACAAAAGAAACGGACGCCTCGAATGACTCCCCGCAGGGTGGAGGCGAAGGATATTTTAGCGCCCATTCTCTCACCTGCACTTACACACTCAGCATGGAGGGATATAATATTAAACGCGCTCAATTCCAGCTGACTGAGCTGGAGGTGGGTGGGTGGAGGGGGGGCGCAAGACTGGGTAATGTACCCCACACTGATTGTGTACCCCACACTGAACACAGCTGCTCACTACCGCACCCTCTGTGAGAGATTTACTGTCAGCCGCTTTGAGTGGAACTACATGCCAAAATGCCAAAAGCACCTTTATTGTCTGCATTAGGATGCTGTGACATCTGTAAGTGGTCTGAGTGCCATCAGCGTGATCTTCCATTCGGAGATCATAGCATGTAAAGCCAGAGATACACAAGCTCTTCCTACAGATATAAACCAAGAGCTGAAATACAGTGCACCTCAAGGCCTGGACAGCCCTGCCTTAGACCAACTCATTTTTTTGTTTTTTATTTTCTAATCCGCAATATCAGATGACTATCCTGAATATTTTTTTAAAAGTACGAAATGAATATTGGATTGAGCGAACTGAATTAACAGACATGCTGCACTGGACCGTTACAGCTCCTTCCAGAAGAAGTGCCACCCTTTGAATAAAAATGAGCAAAAAATATCTTTATTGCTTATCCTCTTGATCTTTCCTTCAAAATACTCACAGAAATCGAATTGAAGCGACAGGATTGAGAGAAACTTTAAATTCTCATCAAGAAACACAGATGTTTCTTAAAATTGCATGAGCCAATATTACTGACACTCCTTCATTTAATTCTTTGTGCAGCGTCCCTTTGCTGAGACAAGAGTCTTCTCTGATGATGCGCGATGAGGATACTAAATATGGTGCATGAGATCGGAGACCATTCCTCCATACAGATCCCAGATCCTTTAGATTCCGAGATCAATGCTTGTTGAGTCTCTTCTTCAGCTCATTCCAAAGATTTTCTACAGGGTCACAGGCAAGGGACTGTGACGACCATGGCAAAACCTTTATTCAGGGGTCAGTGAACCATTTCCTGTGTATTTTCTGAGGTGCGCTACGGCTCGTTGTCCTGCTGGAAGGTCAACCATGGCTGATGTAAACCGCATAAACTCTGACTTGTCACTTAAGTCGGTTGAAAGTCAGAAAAAGCATTTTTTTTCCTGACTGCAGGACAAAGTCACATACATATTCTGGTTGCAGCAGTTCATTAAAACTAGGTCATACTTATTTTGAGAGAAATATTCAAATCCAGGATGACACATTTTTATGGCCACAGCATTACATCATATGGAAAATATCTAGATAATGTACATAATTGCATGCCAATTTTCCATAATTCAAGGGGACATGATTGGGATTGTTGGAAACCGTGGGATCTCCACAAGAATTTAAAATAGGTCTGAGATGAGTTGCATAAGTTTGAATACAGCAGCTGCATGCGATGGACCCACAGATGGGACCACAGGTTTTATGGGGTTGAGCTTCCTGACAGAGGCCGTTAGGTTTACATTTAATATCTCCTGGAGTTTTATGGAGTCTGTGATACCATTTCCTGAAAAGGTGTCCCGAGCTTTTGGAAGAAAAACAGTCCCACAACAATAAACATCCATCACCATACTTCACAGAGGGTCTCAGGTGCTTTCTGCATGGCTATTTTTCTGTCGACACCAAACATACCTTTGTGGCAAAAATGCTCCATTTTCGTCTCATCTGACCAAATAATACATTCTGTTGAAAATACCGGTAACGTTTGACAAACTGTAGGTGCTGAAGTCTGTTGTAGATTGAAAGCAGACGCTTTTTCCCAGCAACTCTCCCAAACAACTTGTGGTGATGTAGCTGGCATCTGATGGTTGTTTTGGAGACTTTTCTGACCCCAACACTCAGCTAACCTCTGAAAATCTCCAGCTGGGATCCTTGGAGATTCTTTTGCCAGTCAAACCATCCTCCTCACGGTGCGTGGGGTCAACTTACACCCATCTCTGCTTCCAAGCTGATTCTTGACATCTTCTGTCACTTAAAGCGTCTTATTTATAACCCTAATAGTGGAAATGGGCATTTGGAGATTTTTTAATATTCATTTTCTGATTTATGCAGCTCAACAACACATACTCACTGTACACCGTGTCCCAAAAGTTCATGCACCTCAATGGGCAACATGTCTGTCTCCAAAATGGGTTGCACCTGGTCAGCCAGGTGTTGTGAGGTTGTTTAACTAGTTCATCTGTTTGCGAGAGGCCTATAAATTTCTTGGTTGACCAAGGAACCAAGAGAGAACTGTCACTGAGGGGACCTTTTTGGTAGTGCTGCCATGAT